AGTGCGTGTCTTCATCTATAGCCGATGTGCAGTGCGTGTCTTCATCTATAGCTGATGTGCAATGCGTGTCTTCGTCTGTAGCTGATGTGCAGTGCGTGTCTTCGTCTGTAGCTGATGTGCAGTGTGTGCTTTCACAATAATCATAGTTCCTGATGTTTCTTTCACATCCCAGGTAAAACTGCCATTTAATGCTCAGCGAATAATCTCGCTCTCACGGAATGACTTCCAGTCCTTGTTGAAGATGCACAAACTGACCCCAGAGCAGCTGGACTGTATCCACGACATCCGCAGGAGGAGTAAGAACAGAATTGCCGCGCAGCGCTGTCGCAAGAGGAAACTGGACTGTATTCAGAACCTTGAATCAGAAATCGAGAAGCTGGTAAGTGGGTGGACTTCTTGATGTTATTAAAGCCCCACTCTTTCATTTTATAGATAGTTATTTAAATTCTGAGGAAGGTTCAGAGTCCAAATACCATTTTAAGAGAAATTAAAATGTGCAGAAAGATCAGAAGATGTGAAACAAGGTTTTCATTGACTGCTTTGATTATGTACATTTTTAGCATGAGATACGGAAATGTGTAGAGGGGAACCATTTCTGGGTTGGTTTATTAAAATGATTTTCCAATTTAATGACTCTTCTAGCTAATCTTTAGTGGTTGAATAAAGATTAAAGTAATTATACAGTTCTTTATGATGTTTGATGTCTATAAAAACTTGTTTTCCAGTTGAGTAGAACTGTGGACCTGAATTACCTGTTTGGGTTGATACCAAAACCAAGCAGTGTCTCCCTGCCAAGGGAAAAATCCTGATGTGAAGTTGTGGTTTGAATAGAAACTTATGAGATGCAGCAAGATCCTCCGTGCGATGGGTGCTTGCTTATCAGTCCTATCTCTTCCAACTTCACAACATAAATTAATTGGAAGATATATTAATTTGCTCCCATTTCTAGTTTTCTCTTGTGGCTGGTGGAGGTATTGTGTGAGAGGAAGCTTCAGTCCCAGACCAGCTGAGGGCTCCATATGGGCCAGGCCACCAGGGCAGCAGCCTAGAGGCAATAAAAAAAGTCCTCAATACTCACTTTTGTGTCCTTGCTAATCATGGGTGAAAAAAAGACCAGTTGTGTTTGCAACTGATCTTCAGGCATGAACATTGTAGATCTGGGCGAGACTAGAAACAGTATAATGGAAAAGTTGTCTTGATGGTTTTAAGAGTAGTTGAAACGCAAAATTTTATTATATATATACTGAGCACATACTTTAGGGAAAGGGTATAGTGTAACTAAAAAGATGAAGGAGAAATTGGATGACATTGCAGAGTAACTAGATTTCCTGGGATCACAACAGATTCTCATAGCCAGCCAGGCCTACGTATCCCTTTATGAACTGTAATCTTTCGTATTAGCCAGCTCTAGTGCCCAGCCACTTTTGGATGGATGAGTTTGTAGAGTGTTGCTCGTTGTTAGGTGCTGTGCTAGATGCTTGGGCTCCAGGGAGCTATTTGAAGCTGGCGTAGGATTGTACTAGAGTGCTTTTTCTGCTTCCCGCATTGCTCTCTCCCCTCAGCTGGCCAGAATTATAGTCATCTGTAGCATTACCCAGTTTTCTCACTTTCCTAAGAATAAACAAGACTGATGAAGATTTACTCTGTTTTATACACAGGGACTGTGCTGCGTGTTTGAGAGTAGCTTGGCAGTTCGCCATTGCTTGGCTCTAAGGTCCCGTGTTTGGAGACTGATGCAGAAGCTGGGTTGCAGGAGCTTATATCCAGGGTGATGAGGAGGGCAGGAGATGCAGCCGATAGGCAGTGTGGGCGGGATAATGTTACTGACCACTTTTCAGTTACAATGCTTGCTTGTGAAGAGCAACTGGATTAATGGGTCAGAAGTCCCAACAAGTACCCACTGTATAGCCCTCAATAAATGCTAGTGTTTCTTGTTACGGCCATATCAGCATTAACTCATACTTAGTTTCCTTAGCCTCTGCTGGCTTCCTTCCTGCTGTCTTCAGCCATCATCTTAGTTCACTTTCTGCTGCTGTGATAAACACCACAGCCAGCAGCAACTGGCGAGGGAAGGGTTTAATTGGCTCACACTTCCACACCACAGTCTTTTAGCAGGAGACGTCAGGGCAGGCTCACAAGGTGGGAACCTGGAAGCAGGAATTGAGGAAGACATCTTGCTTGTTGACTTACTCTCCGTGGCTTTGTTCAGCTACCTGCCCAGCACCAGTTGCCCAGGAGTGGCACCGCCCACAATGGACAGGGTTCTTCCACAGTGATCTTTAATCAAGGAAGTGCCTTACAGGCTCGCCGATGAGCCAGTCTGTCAGAAATACTTTCTCAGTTGAGGTTCCTTCTTCTGGGATGACCCTAGCTTGTGTCAAACTGGCAAAAAACTTGCCAGCGCAGCTGTGAGCTCTGGTAGGGCCTCCTCCTCTCCTTTCCTCTCAGCCCAGAAGAGCTCCTTTCATCTGGTCAACAGAAGAATTCTTGTTTTCCAGCGCACGACTGGTAGTTCCTCAGACACCAAACTGGCAAGTGTCCTATTTACCTGTTGTATTGATTTGGACTCTGGCTGCAAAATCCAGAACCCTCTGCAGTCTGGGCAGGATGATCTGCTGTGGTCGAGGCCAGAGAAAGGAGCCAGGTCTCATGACTGACGTGGAACCAGAAACTAGAACGTCTCCAGGAACCCTAGCTCCGAAGGGATTCAAGAGGACAGGTAGCATTTATAGTCAGCTCTAAATGTCCAGGAGGAGCAAGGAGAACCGGCCCTATGAGGCTCAGATGTCCGTGTGTATGACTGGAGGACAGAGACCATAGCAGGGAGCTGAGAGTCCTGCCTTTTGGAGCAGGCCAGGCAGGTTGCCTATGGGGCTGCTGTGTCCACAGCTCAGTTCTGCCACTGGCCTCATCCATAAAGCCAACCTGAAGAGTCCTGTTGGTTTGTGTGTGGTGGTGCAGGGCTGTGGGTGTCCGTCCCTGCACCCCACTCAGTCCTGACCACTCTCAGTCTAATAATTTGCACAAACCCTAGTTGCAGAGACAAGGGGCATGCTATAAATGTCTGCCCTGCCACTGATGTTCTTCTCAGACAAAAGATGGTCAGAAAGTGTGCTTCTTAGCAAATAAGAATAAGGAAACTGCCGGAAGAAACAAAACATAATGCTTAAAGTACAGACACATAGAATACAGTGGTTTGTTAGTGCTCCATCAAAGCTGACCCTCCATGCAGTGGAGAAGCTGCTGGGCTGCTGTCACCTGGCAGAAGATGAGGTGGGGGAAGGGAAGCTGCAGGAGAAAGTTTGGAGGGTTCAGTGGCTGCTACTGGCTCCCAGGTTAGCAAGCTGCCATGGTGAGGAAAGAGCTTGGTGCCAAGCCTGACAGCCTGGCTTTAATCTATGAGACTCACGTGGTGGATCAGGAGAATTCTCACAATGCTCTCTGATCTCCACATATGTGGCATGGCACATGACCCATCCCCCCAAGTAAATACATGTAATGAAAAAAGTGCTCCCACCTTGGAAGGCTTCCCTAATAGAGGCGAGTGTTCGTCATCCACTCATTGCAGATATGACGAAGATCATAAAGCAAGCACACCGCCTTGCACCCATTTCTGCAAGGCGAGCCTTGGGGAGATCCGGCAGAACTGGTACTGTTACAAGAGGGGACAGGTCCATGTGTGTCACACCGCCGAAGACCCTCCAGAAGGGCAGAGTGTGCAGGTGTCTTCAGGGACACTGATGTCGCTGGGCCTTTGCAGGCTGGGCCAGTGGATGAGTCCTAATTTTTAATGAAACACTTTAAAAAGGAAAGGGGAAAATATTCAAGAAAGGCTAAGGATGGAGAAAATAACTTTGCTGCGGCTGCACAGTATTAGTATTTATTTTAGGCACAAGCCTGAACTCTTTGTTTTCACTATTTTATTTTTTCTGTGTTGTAAACTAAGTGTTATTTCAAGAGTCAAAAGTTTTAAAAAAAACTTAAGGTATAATGTAAACAATTTATAATAAACTAAGTAGATTACTGAATAAAAACCCCAACATGCTGAAACCTTTAGTACAGCATGAAAATGCAGTTGCAAGGGCCATGGTGTACACAGAACTGTCCCAGGTCCTTCGCTTGCTTGCCTTCCCACCCAGAGCAGTGTCCAGGCCTGGAAACGCCACTGCGCACGCGCCTGTGTAAGTGCACATTCTTAGTCTTCTGAACCATATCTTTACTGTGCCCGTCTCGTGTTTAGATAAGCACAGATATGCAAACACTTGGGAGTGTGTGTTGCTGCTTGCGGCTTTAGTAAGGAACACGCTGTTCACATTTGTAGCCCAGGAGCTAACAGGCGATAGCTCAGCCCACGTGTGTTGCAGGTGGCACCATTTAGATGTTTGTACAGTGGCCCAGTTGCCTCATAAGACATGTCTTAGAACATGTTGCTGTCGAGGATCATGCATGACTATAATCTTAAGGAGTTAAGCTTGCGTTTGAGGTTGGGGTACTGAGACATCATGCCTCCCACCCCCGGTATTGAACCTGAGACCTTGTGCCTGTTCCATCCCCAGGTCTGTCTCCAGTGGGGCAACATGGCTTCTCACTGACTCTGCCCTTTTTCTCCCAGCATTCAGTTTAGTTTTCCCTGCCTGGCTCTATTCTGCCCTATCGCAGGCCTAAACAGCTTCTTTATTCACCAGTCAATAAAAGCAGCACATACAGAAGGACTTCCCACTCCAATAGGGGTCTTTAGTAGACCTGCAGCTTGCCTTTTGTTTTCTAGACTGGCCAGTAAACCTCCACAATCCTCCTGACTCCTTCCTCTCTCCCTAGCACTGGGGAGCAGTGTATGGCCACACTTAGTTTTGGTGAGGTTTCTGGGGATTCAAACTCATGCCCTTATACTTGGGCAGCAAGCATTCTTGATCCACTGAGCCATCTCCCCAGACTCTTCTTGGATGTTCTGAATGAATGGAGTCATCTCTTAGTGGGATAGGAGAAGTGTGAATATGGAGGGTCAGATAGATAGATATTTACATGAAGGTACAGACATTATGTGATATTTGTATTTGTGGGAGGAGCCCAAATGCCCACTGTTAAAGCTAACCTTTTGTAATTTCAAAGACCAGCATCACTTGGCATTTTGTATATTGCTATTCAGAACGTCTTCATCTCATGTTCGATAGAAGAACCGAGACATGAGTATGGCTGTAACTGAGTAAAGAGGTCTCTCGTCTTCTTCCTAGGTCTTCGTTTCCTTTCCATTAGATGTGCTTCTGAGAAGATGTCTGAATGCAGACCTAGCGTGCACACACGATGTGTGCCTTCATTCTTGATCTGCTTTTTTATTATGAAGCAAACCTAGAAATCTGAACAAATTGGAGAATTACTTTGCAATATAAAAATTTATATTGTGTTTATAATAAAGGAATTCCTTTTTTAAAAGTTATATAATCTTAGTATTTCAAAAAAACTACCAATAATTGAATTCTTGCATAACTTTGTAAAAATATTTTTATATAAAACAGTAATAGTAGCAAAACCCTTACTACCTTTGAAACTATTGTAGAAGGAACAGCGGGCCACTTCCCGCCGCCCACCCGGCTAGCTTTACCCGAAATCATTACACGGAAACTGTATTCATTTAAACACTGCCTGGCCCATTATCTGTAGCCTCTTATTGGCTAGCTTTCACATAATTGATTCAACCCATTTCTGATAATCTATATGTCACCACGAGGTTGTGGCTTACCGGAAAGATTCTAACCTGCGTCTGTCTCAGAGAGGAGAGTCATGGCGACTGCCTCATTGCCTTCTTCCCAGCATTCTGTTCTGTCTACTCCACCCACCTAAGGGCTGGCCTATCAAAAGGGCCAAGGCAGTCTCTTTATTAACCAATGAAAGTAACACATGAACATATGACCCTCCTGCATTTCCCCTTTTTCTGTTTAAACAAAATTGACCTTAAAATCCATACCAATGAAAATTATTCATATCTATATCAAACTATGTTTGTGCCCAAAGGGACATAAACTATTATAGTTAGAAATGATCCCTGTGGAGTCCCCTTCTCAGTGTTCTCCAGCACCTGTCAGTGGGTAGTCAGGAGGCAGAGGCGGCCCTGGTCCCTCAGACACTGGTCCTGTGGTTTCACAGGTGAAGCCTTTGGCCTTCTGCCATTCACTCACTTTCACCTTACAGGCAGCCTGATGATTAGGTTGCCTGGCTCATCGCAGATTAGAAAGTGAAATGGTTGAGTGTGAAAGAGGAGGCAGAATATGGGTGGAAGTGATGTGCTGTTCGTGATGGTACCTGATGTGGGTAGAAGTAGAGCCAGGAAAACCTGAAAAAGTTTTGTGGCAGACGTTCTTGTAGGGATTTTAAAAATCACACTAGTGAGAGCAATAAACTCAGACTAACCCTTCAGTCCTTATACTTACCGTAGAAGCTCTTTCCAGCCATCCTTTCTGTGCTGTGCTAACGTCTTCCTCCTGTTTACTTAGTACTGTATGGATTATTTAAAACATTGGCCATAGTCTTGGGCTCCCAGCTGCATCTCAGGAAAGCAGGCATTAGCTGAACCTTACAGTGGCGGAAGTCTTGGGGGCTAAACCAGGAACACCGTCTTGGTGTCCACACAGGGTCCTGTCCACACTTTTCCACAGTTCAGATTCAGACACTCAGAGCAGTGAGTTTGTCTTAGAATCTTGGCTAGAACCCATCCAAATTTGATAACCAGCTATAAGTCGTTTCCCCCCACTTTCTGTCTTATTTCATATTTTAGTATTTTTTTTAAAAGTATAAAGATGTATAACGATGGGGCTAACTCTGCACATGATGGAGCATTGTGTGTACATCTGTATTATTTTTCTATAGTGTGAAAAGTTATGAGTTCCAGCATAGGTATGTCTCTAGGAGTTTTTGGATGAGGGATCATGAACTTTTGATATTTAACATGTGTGTGTTCAATTTTAAATTTTACATATTCCTGGTACATAGTGCAGCACCACAGCCTGAGGATGCTGTTGTACAGGTGCACATTATCTATTGAGGACATGCCCCTCCCTGCCCTTTCTCAGCCCTACATATTATCTGTTGAGGACATGCCTCTCACTGTCCTTTCTCAGCCCTACATATTATTTATTGAGGACATGCCTCTCACTGCCCTTTCTCAGCCCTACCTGTTTAGTTTCCCCCATTTCTCTAGACTTGTTTTGTTTCTGCTTTCCTATCATATGTGATTTTTATGTGTCTTATCTGAAAGTCTAGGACCTACATACGAGAGGGAACGTTTGTGTTTTGAACACTGGTGTAATTCGCTTAATGCAGACTTCAGTTTGCATCCATTTTCCTGCAAATCACATGGCTTCATTTTCCTTTACGGCGGGAAACATACCATGGCATGCTTATGCCACATCCTCCCTTCCTTGGGTCGGGCACCTCGGTTGGTCCTGTGACTTAGCTGTTGTGAAAGTGCTGTGGGACACACGGATGTGCAAGTGTCTGTGTGGTGAGCTGACACGCGTGTGTGGTTGAGTTGATTGAGAGGAAGCATCCCATGTGATCTTACTGAAGGATGCAGAATATTTGATTGCCTTAGAAATGTCGGTGGACCCAATAAACACGAGCCCTTGTGTTCTCTCTCCCCTCTGCACAGCAAAGTGAAAAGGAGAGCCTGCTGAAGGAACGGGATCTCATTTTGTCAACGCTGGGTGAAACAAAGCAGAACCTGACGGGACTTTGCCAGCAAGTGTGCAAGGAAGCCGCTCTGAGTCAGGAGCAGATTCAGATCCTCGCCAAGTACTCGGCCTCAGACTGCCCTCTTTCTTTTCTAATTTCGGAGAAAGGAAAAAGTACTCCCGATGGTGAGCTTGCTTTTCCTTCAGTTCTCAGTGTGTCTGATGGCCCACCCCGCTGTGGACCGGGAAGCAGCAAGGCAGGCCAGGAACCGGGGCAGGAGTCCCAGACAGCCGCGCCAACCACCGCAGCTGCCCTGGAGCAGGCCACACTGTTGGAACCCTGTCGGCAGAGTGGCGGGATCTCAGACTTCTGCCAGCAGATGACTGACAAGTGCACTACTGAGTGAACCGCGAGCGTCCTCCAGTCGTGGATTTCCTACTGAAGTTTTGGCGTTGTCTTGAGAGCCGCGCATGGCCGTGTTCTTCTTGCTTTCAGTAACCTTGCTTCCCCTGGTAGCTTTCTGGAGAGGGAATTTCTCTTCTAAGGTGACCCTGAGTTCTCCTTGATTTTCACAGGATTTACCTCTTGGATGCTGAAAAATCACATGTGAAAATGTAGAGTAATAATCTCCCAGTGTTCAAAATAACTAAGACAGTGGAAACAGCAGGGTCTGCTCCAACAGCTCGCATCTGCACCCGGCCCTCCTGGCCTGCGGAAGCTCAGTAATCTACCTTTTGACAGAATACTGATCAAAAAGAAAAGTTCTACCCAAGCAGTGCGGTGGCCATCTACCCAGAAGGGACGTGTCAGCGCTGAGAGTGTTTGTGTAGAGCTGTCATGTGGAAAAGAAATCATCTTCGAACTCTAACGCTCCTACCAAAGTCCAGCCCGGACTGGACCCAGTGACCTGAGGCTGCCCCGGCAGGACTTAGTGAAGGGCCACAGCGGCCTGAGCTGGAGGTCTCCCCTCCTCAATATTGACTAGAGTTTCTGGCTGCACAAACAGTAGGTAGTTGTCATTTTCCCTGCTCTCTCCTTTGATCCCGTCTGCAGTTCCTGCCATGTCTAGGTCAGTCACAGACTTCCTGTTCCTTTCTTGTCCCTTGGAGGAAGAAATGAGAGTTAGGCTGAGTGGCCTAAGTGTTCACAAGCTGGAGAGAACCACAGTTACCACGAATCTGGAGACCACACTGCACGAGTCTTGTTGCCGATCACCAATGCCCAAGAGGGCGCTGGGATGTGGGGGGTGTCTGCATTGACCAGAGGTGCAGCTCGTTGGCATCCTGAGGAAGAGCTGTGGTCTGTAAAGAGCCCTGTTGGAGCAAGCGTGGAGCCACAGCTCTGCTGGCCTTTGAAACCATTATGGGCTCGCACTTGAGAAGCAGATTGAACCCTGTTATCCCCGCCCACCGGTTTGGTATGGTGTAAAGGCACATGCATCCCTTTGACTTGGACACGGACCAGTCAATCTTGTGCTTATTTTGATGTTGGTAGAAAATGAATTTATAATAATCTGAGCATCTACCCCGTAACATTTTGCAGTGATTCTTGGTTGTTCTGGAATCTCACACTCTAGACCTCAGCAGTAGACACAAAGCATCGTATATACAAGTTCAATATCCCTATTCAAGGAATGTGAAATGCCTTAAAATTGGAAACGTTCTGAGTACCTAGCTGATAGCAAATGTGGGATAATCCAGTCCTGAGTTCATGAGGTGGGCCACAGGCAAAAGAAAATGTTCAAAATCTTCTGAGAGCTTCTTTAGGATACATGTGTAAGGTACATGGGAACTTCATTAAGACTTTGGGGAGGGTCTTATCTTCGAGCTAACTGTAGAAGCTTCTACATTCTGTAGAAATGGGGAAAATCTGGAGTGTGAGGCACCTGTGGTCGCAAACACCTGTGATAAGGGGTCTCTCAGGACTCTCCTGGGAGTGTTTGTAGAGTTGCGCTTAAAGGAGCGGTCGATAGGATGCCATCTCTCCAAGTCAGGTCGCTGGACGAGACACTCATCTTCACGGCATGCTGAGTCCAGTGAAGAGTCTAGAGAGGGAAAGAGAGGGCGAGAGCATGCCAGAGAGCCACCCTGCGTGCGGTATCACGTCAGTAGGTACCTAGCTGGTGCTTGCCATGAGAAGGTACGGGACCAGCATCAGTATGATTAGTTGCCATGATGCCCTTCTCTCCTGGGTGCAGGGAGGGAGGAAGGATAGTGTGTATTTTATCTTCGGAAGAGAAAATGAAATTGGAATTATCTTCTAGAAACTTTGAAAAGTCCACTCAGTTTGTCTGGAAGAGAATGCTCACGGTGACAAAGCATCCATGTTACAAAGAGCTGTGTATATATACATATATATGTCCCCACGCAGCTGTTTGATACTTGTAATTTTAGATTTCAACAACGTAAAATAATATGAAAACGTCTCTGGTTTACAAAGTATAAAATCTTCTACAAGCCAATGGAGTCCTTGATTTCCTACCTCACTGTACACTCGACTGTCTGCCATCAGTGTGCACACATCCAATTTTTTTGCTTTAAATGTAACTGTAAATATTTGCTTTGAAAAGTTACTTAGCATTTTATGATAAGACCCAGTTCTCTCCTCAAGGTAAAGATACTTTTTAAGACAGTTTAAATTTCTTTCTACCTTTGAACGTTTAGCATTAAGGGTTAATTTTAATGGTGTTTGGTAATTGGCCAAGTGTAATAGTTCTTAAAATTTAGCATTACTTTTAACAGCCAGCATATAATACAAGTAACTACACTACCTCATTCCTGTGTGATTTTCGAGTTGTATTGGATGGACAGGAAAGATTTTACCTTTGTCTTTTGGCCATGACGTGGGTAAGTTGTCTGTATATTGCATAGCATTACACATTTATGCCAGTTTTAACGTGAACTTTTAAAGACTTTTTTTTTTAAGAAAATTTGTTTTAAGGCAATATTTGGGGGGGATGCTGAAGACAAATGTTAGGATCATATGTGTACACGTATGCTTTGCTGAAGACAAATAACAGGATCATATGTGTACACGTATGCTTTTTCCTTCATGCAGAGTTTGGACGATGTTTTTCATTTGTTATTTGAATATCCCTACAATCATTGCTCCTCGTTGTATGATCCAGCCTTCTCAATGCCTGGTGATTTAAGTTGTCATGTCTGACTCAGTACAATTATGTCCTCTTAAATCGTTGCCCCTTATTTGAATCCTATAGCCGCAAGCACATAATTTGTTAAATTCTTATATTCAGAGTAAATATGGATATAACATTGGTTGTCCACCTGCAGGCATTATAACAATTTACTGTAGCTTGATGCTTAGCCAATTTTAAGTTAGGAATTCAACATAAATGATGCGGGGATAGTGGAGATGGCATGAGGACATGCATCCACGTTAACAGCTTGGGAAAGAAGAGACGCAGACGGTGATGTCACAGTGAATTCTCAGGTGAACCTTTCGGTTACAAAAACATCTATTTTGAATTTGTAAATATTTTAACTGTTTTATTAAGGCATGTACTAAACTATTCTTTGACACCTGTTGGGTAGAATGAAAATTTAAAGCCATAATGGTAAAAGATGGCATACTGATTGTAAAATAAACAAATAATAATATTGATTTTTTGTATCTTTCATAATATAATTTTTCTAACTGCAATAAAACCACTGAACTTATATATTCATGTCCTATTAAGCCCATGTTTCATTAGAAGTACACTTTATAGTATTTAATTTACATTTTCTTCCTAACATGCTTGTTTGTGTGTCAGATATAAGTAGTAGATGCTGATGGTAGATGAACAGTTCAATAAAGTTTCTAATACTGCCTTTAAATGAACAGAGTTGTACCTTCCACGTCTCCCTGCTCGTGTGAACTTACTAATGCTAACCTTTTGATCAGTCATCAGAGGTCAGATTATGTGTTGGTAAGGGAGACGTTTTGACTGGTTGATTATCTTATGTCTGAAAGAAGACTCCCGGTACCCTGGTATTGGAAGACACAGGTTTTAGTCTTGTATTTGATTTACTCAATTTCAGTCTGTGAATTAGGGGTATGCAAAGGGTCTGAGGAGATTTGTTGATAAAGTGCTTGCCATGGGACTGAGTTCTATTCCCAGAACCCATCTAAAAAATGCCAGGCATAGCTGGACGATGGTGGTGCAGGCAGGCAGATCTCTGTGAGTTCAAGACCAGCATGGTCTACAAGAGCTAGTTCTGAGACAGGCTCCAAAGCTACAGAAAAACCCTGTCTCAAAAAACAAACAAAAAAGCCAGGCATAGCCACGAGTGATTGACCCATGTGTGTCTAACGATGGCAACATCAAGAGAGGCAATCTAGTAGATCTCTGCGCTCTCCAACCCACCTGGCCTACTAGTGGATCCCAGGCCAGTGAGAGTCACTGTGGTATCTTGAGGAATGACATCCTAGGTTATCTACGAAACCCACACATACAGGCGTGCACGTGCATACACACACACACACAGACACAGATTCTCAAATCTGTTGCTCCAACAAGGTCTTGAGTTGAGCGTTGAGCAGCTACCGGTGTTGAGGCCTTCCGAGGGACTGAAGTTAGCTTGAGAAAGGTGATTAGCATTTGAACCTGTAACATTCCAGCTTCTACTAGCCAGCCTGTCTGCAGACACAGCTGCTTTCTGGGCATTCTCATTGATACCCAGGAGGAGGAAGCCTCTTCTGTCAGATTCCAGCTTCAGACTCTCATGTGCTGGGCTGTGGGTGGTAGATAGTTGGTCCTTCAGAAGGCTCTGAAGTGGATCCAGCAACACACTGGTAACTAAATAAATCCAGACATTCCTTGTGTTTTCCCAGCTCTGCCACTCTCTGGCATATCAGAGATTCTGCGTGGGGAGCAAGTGAAATACCGGCACAGGAGGATGCCCGTTAGAACGATGCCCGTGAAAGCCTGTGCAGCGACTATACTCCGCAGATGAACCAAAGTCTCTTCAGCTTTTAGTCAGTCCCTTGGGAACTTAAAATCCAGAGTTTAAAATTTGAAGTCTAGAGGAATGAAATAATGTGCCCGCCTGAGTTCAGAGTTCAAAAACTTTAAGAAAAATAGAATCCCAAATGTCCTGCCGGATTTTTATTCAATGATAGCAGGGACAGACAGTTCCTGCCTAGGATGGGGTAGAGGTTCTCATAGAAGCCTTAGCTTTGCTGCCCTGTAAAAGCTCCTGCCAGAACCTAGAAAGGGTTAAGGCAAAGGCTGGGTGTCTGTTGTGACCAGTGGTTCTCAGCTGTGACCCTTTAGATGCAGTTCCTCATGTTGTGTCCTCCAACAATGACATTATTCCATTGCGACACCATGAGTATAATTTTGCTACTGTTATGAACTGTAATGTAAATATCTATGTTTTCCAGTGGTTTTAGGTGACCTCTATGAAAGGGTTGTTTGACCCCAAAGGGGTCATGACCTACAGGTTGGGGACCACTGGTTTAGAGTATGAGGGGTTATGACATCACAGCTGTAGCTCTACAGCCATATTTATTTGAAGTAAGCTGATTCCCGAGCCGTAAATCGCTTGTCCCAGATAGAGCTAGAGCCCCTGTACTCAGTACCTAGTACCACCCATGTAATAAGAGAATCCAATGATATATGGAAAAAAAAGTTTTGGTTTCTACTTCTGAGAGATGCATTTGTTCTGGAACTCACGACCTGTGCTCAGAATCCCTGTTAGGACTGCTTATACAGCTTGGTTTTGACTGTAAGCATGCTGGGAGGCAGAGCCAACATTGTGTGATACCGAGATTTACACTTGGTGTTCCAGCAGGACAGTTTGCAGGCTGAGGGAGCCTGAGGAAGCTCTCTCAGGCTTGAGCCCATTTCCCTTAGCACAGATGTGATCAGGCCAGTACTGCTGGGATGTGGCCTAAGAAAGTGGCTGCCCTGGATTGGCTGGTCTCTGAGTAGGTTTAAACAACACAAAGTTTACTAAAGAGAAGCCACTTGTATCCAAGGCTGGAATCTCCGTTGCTCACTCCTTGACTAATAGGAAGTTTAGTGTGCTCCACTGGCCTGAAATTCTCTCTCAAAAGCTAGAGCCTGTAAGAGTCCTCTGCGTTGGAACCCAGCTGCCGGGGGTACTGCAGAATTAGTACACATTCTTCCCTTTTACACTAAGAAGTCTTGGAGCATTGCTCTTTCACTGAGGACTGCAGCTGCAGCATCTACGCGCCTTCCCCCCACACAAAGCTTGCTGCTGGGGTGTTGCTGTGCCTTGTACAGCTGCTGGAGCTGGAGAGGACTCCCACAAGCCTGCTGCTCACATTTTTTTTTTTTTTCTGCTGCTCACATTTTAACTTGGGTCGCATTGCGCACTCTTTCCAAAGGCTTGGAGTCCACGGGGTTGGAGATGGAGGAGGGTTTCTACTAATTGCTTAAAGACCATAGGTAATAGATTCCCCAGAGAAGAAAATGGCTGGCAGAAGTCAGGGCAAGGCTGATAAAATGGCATTCCCTGTTGACTTTCCTTGCTTCAAGCACACTGTCTTCTGTAGGCATGCCGAGTATCTTCTGCAGAGTACTGAGTCTACCTGGTGCTGCATTCTGGTAATACCGCGTTTCCTGGCATACCTGCCCTTAGCTCCTGCATGCTTCCATGTTTTCACCACAGGTGGCACAGTGCTATGGTCACCTTGTGTGTGTATCATTGTTAAAAGTCACTTTAGACTCTTAGTGTTGGGCCAATACGATGGAACCCCTGAAGGACTCTCCTCTGAGTGACGGCCACATTTCTGCCGAGGTTCCAGTGGCTTAGGCTTAAAAGTCTCTAAATGGTCCTTTCTAAGGCCCAAGGAAGACAGGAAGCAATTACCACAGGAAATCACATTTGCTGGCTAAAACACTACACTTTGGCAACCTTCCAGATTAAAAATGCGCACCTAGCCCAACTTCATTACCAAAGCAACGTGCACGCCTGCTCTGAGCTAGCACAGCGCGCAATGGCTCACAGATCGTAGTCATACATGTTTCTCTTTTCAGATCCTGTTTCTCCCACCTTCTCTCTGCAGTGCGTCTCAAATGTCTTTCATATTCCTGCTCTGGAGTTAAAGTTAGAGACAGAAAATGATGTTAGAAGGAAGACTAAATTAAACCTGGTTGGCAACGAGGAGGTGCCGAGTGGCAGGCTCCAGAATTAGGCAAATAGACATTAAATAGTGGTTTGCTTCTTGTTGGATGGAAATAATTTCTCTGCATTCTTTTTTACAGAGGGAAGGTTTCCTCTCATCAACGCAGCGTGGCCTGTACCGCGTCTGGTGGGAGGAACATTATTCCAAGGAGGGAAGTTACTGAAGAGAAATGAGAGCTGCCAGCTCTCTTCCCTTATTCATCAGTTATCCAGGGCACTCCACCTCTCAAGGGCTGGAGTGAGGTTAAGGGGAAATGTACAGAAGACTGAGGTCAGGGGGAGGTATGTTACATGGAGTCATGAATCGGGAAGCTTCGAGAAGTTTGAGGGAAACAGCAGGTACCCTCATGAGGGGTAGACCCCAATGAAAGCCCCGGACTCGCCCTCCCATCTTCTGAAAGGGGCACAGGTCCAGGTTTAAAATCGAAGTATTCGCTTCTGAGACAGTACCTCCGTCTGTCTCATCTCTATTACGGATGTTGTTCTTCGGGTCTAAATGAAAAGGTGAGAACCAAGCAGAGTGCATTCCTTCATCATTTAAACATGGCCATCCTTTCTGCGTCTACTGTTTCCAGCTTTGTTTACTTTTAATTGTTCTTAGAAAGTCAGTGCTCTCCTAAATAGTTAATTTCCTTTCTGAACACTGGGACCCAGACAATTTTCTAGTTGCTGTCTCAGTAGCATGGTGATATTCACCATGCAAAAGGAAATGCCGCTGGAATCTTGCTTTGTGGTGCAATAATGCAGAAGGCTTCATCTGTGTTGATTTAACCAGTAGCTTTAAATGGTGGACACAGGGTTACCCACTAGTATCTTTAACACAAAGTTTTCTGCAGAAGGGCACTTTTGGAAAACCTGTTTGGGCCTTGTTTGAGGTTTTTTTTTTTTTTCTTTTTTATCTGGTGTCTACACGCGCTCTCAGTACTTGAGGGGTGTCTTTCAGGGAATGGTGGAAAAGTTTACTCTGCAAGACATCTTTCCTCGAGTGCAGGAGTCTCTGCTCAGACTGCTCTGTCTCAGCCTCGCTGAGGAGTAACATGTGGGAGTAGAGCTCAGGGTGGAGCCGCACACGGAGTTTCAGATTTTATAGGAACAAGGAGTGGAGCACATCGGTTCTCTAACAAGGTAGGAGATGCTGGCCAGCCAGAGTACTCAGGAGATTGTGTTCATCAGGGTTGGATAGGGCGGACAGCTGTGGCATGCTTGAAATAGAGTCAGTGTGAAGTTAGGCGCATAAGAACTCAAGGGTTTAGGCAATGGCTCAGGCCTAAATCCAAGTCCCCGTTGAAGGGACTGTGAGGAATAAAAGGGCTTGGTCCTGACCTCAAGAGACACCGGGTTCGGGAGCCTGGGTCTGGTGCTTGACAGCTGTACGGCTCAAAGAAAATGCATTTTTCTAGGACACGGTTTCCTTACGTGCTTTCTGTCTGTGTTGGTGGCAGGGCAGGTGATATTTCTGTGGCATGTACGGGTGTTATTACTATGCCTGGCTTAGCGTGGCATGGTCGCCCTGAGTGTCTGGGTTCCTGATTCCATCAAACCCATTCAGAGTCTCAGTTGTCTTATTCTATGTTTAGCATTGGTGGGAACATTGCCTCTCCATCACGTGCTTGGAGATTAGGTGAGTAAAGAGGTCATTCTGTGATTTGATAAGACTTAGGAAGAATGTGGGCGGTACTGGG